ATTAGTTGAAAACTCATTCCAGAAACAGAAAGCTCAATATTTATTCCTATAAAGTTATCTGGAGAAATGTACTGATTTTATATACCATGAGTAATGCATAATTGCTTATTACTTGTACTGCTAACTTAACCAGCAGTATAATTCACGCTCAGAACCAATTAGGTGAACCCTGCAGTCTAGCTTCTATCCACTCATTGGTGCTGGCGTTTTATCCCTAACAAGCACTACCCCTTTTGCTTTGCCTCACATTGACAGAAATGCGCCTGCCCTATATAAACTAATTACAGTCTTCATAGCCAAAGGGAAGTGTGCTTGTCTTGAAACTCACACTCCTACGGAATAAGTAATAGCAAGCTAGTTTTATCGCTTAGTTTTAATAAAGACCCGTAAAATTTAGAGTTTCTTGAGATAAAAAAATGAATTCACTGCGCCGGCAGGTGGCGTGAAGGTTAAGGTGCTGGATTCCCACATGGCTAACGACTGCGGTTCGAGTCCTGGAAAATGTTTTTTCTGTCTTCAGCAACGTTTTTTGCCCTTCTCCTCACTCCGACTCTCTCGCGCCAAAACCCCACACAACTAACCCACTGCCACTTATGGAGCCCTCCTTATTTCCCTAAAAGAAGGGATGGAGGCTTTCGCTCTCTCACTACCTGTGTCTCTCTACAGCCACTGCTAACAGCCACCACAAACTCAAAAAAAAAAAAAAAATGAATTCACTTTGGGACCAGCAGATGGCATAATGGCAACGTCACCGAACTCCCACGTAGTTGACAAAAGTTCAAATCCCGGACTCAGTGGATTAAAGCTCAGCCAGGAACATGTGCATGCATGCCCCAAATCCTGAGAAGAGAATGCAGGAGAAGGGATTGCAGTGTGCCACCCTCCTGAGGGGTGATTTCCCACCTTCTATCTCTTTGTCTCTATCTGTGTCTCCATCGAGCACACACGTCCCACAGCAAAAATTTCTCTCTTAAAAAAAAAAAAAAAGTTCTAGGAAAACCATAACTTACACTATGGCGAGCAAATTAAAATTAGGTGTAGATGTTTTATTGAAATAAATTTGATACTGTCAACCTCAGAATTATAGGTTAAGAAAGCTAGAAACCAATTCACTTCTTAGAGTTCAAGGACATCAGCTCATAGAACTTTTAAACAGAAGTACATCTTGAATATTAGCTTAAATGCTAGAAAAGTATTGTGTTGCAACCCTGGAAACTGTTTAAAATTTTCAAATAGGTTGATATAGAAGAAATAAATATGAAAAAGAAAATAATAAAGAAAAAGGACCAGCAGTTGGCATAATGGCTATGTCAGTGGACTCCTGTGCAGTCAACCACGGTTCAAGTCCTGGACCTGGTAGCTTAAATTCACACCACGTGCATGTACATGCATACCCAAGATCCCGAGAGGAGAATGGAGGAGAAGGGATTGTGGCGTGGCTATCTCCCCACTGCCCCCCCCCCCACAGGAGGTGATTTCTCACTTTCTGTCTCTCTGTCTCTGTCTTTCTGGAAAGTACATGCACCCTATAGCAAAAACCTCTCTCAAAAAAAAAAAAAGAACCATAATCCACTTTATTTGAACTCATATTAAGCCATAGCCCCATATCCTACATAGAGCATGTGATTATAAAAAGTTTTAACATACACCAGTTTTTATTTATCTTTGTTAAATTTTATCTGTCTCTCTCTTGCTAGCTTGTGAGATTATTTTAAATTTTAATTATTTTATCTGATATATTGAGTGTCTCTTACCCTCTGGTCTGAAATTCAATAAGCACATGTTTTCTTTCTTCAAATCACAAAATTGTAGAATTTTCTATCTAAAAGTGACTTGAGGACCAGCAGGCGGCATGGGGGTTTAGGTGGCTGGATCCCACGCAGCCAACCAAGCAGTTCAAGTCCCAGAGCCGACAGCTTGAAAAAACATACCAGGCACATGTGCATGCATGGCCAAAATCCTGAGAAGAAGCTAGAGAAGGAGTAATGGCATGGCCATCCCCCTGGAGAGGGGGTGATTTCTCTCCTCTCCTCTCTCTCTCTCTCTCTCTCTCTCTCTCTCTCTCTCTCTCTCTCCCCCCCCCCCTCTCTCTCTCTCTCTCCCTCCCCCTCTCTCACTCTCTCCCTCCCCCACCCCATCTCCCCTGGACAACCGCATTAATTTTCACTAATTCAGCACACATGACTTGCTAGTGCGCATCGAATCATCAGTAACTGCTGGAAGTTGTTTGGTGTTTCACACGAAGAACGCTGTTATTCGCATTCTGGGTCCAGATCAGATCACGCTAGCCTGAGAGCTGGCAGGCCTGAAAAGAAACTGGCCACCACACCGTACAGCGGTGTCGAGCCTGCAAAGACAGTGTCGCCCTCAACCGTGGTTTTGAAAAGAAAATACTCTGAAAGCTCTGGGTGGCGGATGAGGGAGAAGGTAGTTCAAAACAAGCGAAAATGTTCAAAACCAGAAAACAGTGCTCATCCCCTTCTAAAGCTGTTGGCTTGAAAAAGTGTGCAGCTCCAGCTTGATCTGTATGTTTTCACGGTTATTAGCAGCAATGGAGACGCGCTAACCATATCCTCCTGATAACGCTGCAGCAGCTTCTCAGCACTTTTATCAACACATACATTTTACAACTGGCAGTGTGGGGATTGGACTAGTACATATTTGTGTATAAAAAAGGGTAACAGCATTATAACTTCTTCGTATCTGTGAATTATGGATCTTGACTTGCAAGCGAGCAAACCTGAAACGCAGCAGAACTTCAGCATCCTGGTAGCTCTTCTGTCCCCTCCCACTTCTGAGAAATGGCCGCGCGTGGACCGCTGAGGAGAAGGCGACCCCTCGGTGACGAGTTCTTTCCATCTCATCCCTCCTTCTCAGTAAACGAGTGTGGTGTGCCTTCTTTCTGTCTACCCTGGGCCGTGTCGATGGGGAAGGCCCTGCGTCATGAAGCGGCTGAAAACCGCAAGGCGTTCATCGAAACTGTGGACCCTGATCTCCTTTTCATCATTGTAGAAGGACCTTTCATAGCCCGTTCTTTAAAGGTGAAAGTCCGTGCAGAAGGAAGCATTTAGACTTGTTTCTCCACATCTCACTGAGTCACCAGGTTCTCGATTGTATTTGTCCTGTCTCCGGAGCAGCAGAAGGCCCACACACGTAGCCCAGAGCGTTTGCCGCTGCCGTTAGAGAACAGCTCGGGAGTGAGAAGCATAGTGCTCTTCCTTTTTACTGCAGAAGTCTCGATCCGTTCCGTTTTAGAGCAGTAGCTGGTAATGCCATGGATAGAGCTGTTATGTAAAAAGTCGAATTACTGTGCCAGCGCTGCCAGGCAGATCTGGGAGAGGGACAGAGCAAACTCGAGGTAACTAAAACCAGGTACGTGGACCTCTGAGGCTTGCTTTTTCAATATCGCACCTCTGCGAAGCAAAATAAGAAAAAGAATAAGTTTCTATTAATAATCTGGGCAAGAAAAATACAAACATCAGTATCGTCATGGAGTTGGACTTCCTCCCTCAACTATAATCATTTGTCGTCACAGCGGGTCCTTAAGAGAATGGCCCCAGATAGTGGAAGACTATGAGTCCTGTGGAAAATAGCTGCTCATTTAACGGATGCTCACTTGTGGCGTCCTCCATCTGCCAGGCACAGTGACAGGACGGTGCTGGCAAACCATGGAAGCCTCCAGAGAAGGTGGGCAAGAGGGAGCAGGGCCGTGAGGGAGCTGGCACAGCAGCAGTGGAGCGGAGTAAGGAGGGGCCTCTGGCTCTGCAAAGCAGAAGCGGTGACCGACCTTGAGGACCTCGGAGCTTGGTAAAGAGGTCACCATCAGAGCTCAGTAGCCCCAAATCAGAGGAAGCACAATTAGCATGCAAAGGGACCTTGACATTACCGCGCTGTGAGTGGAGAAAGCCGAGGTAGTAACCAGAAAGGGACGGGATGCAGAGGAGAAGTCAGCAGGGGCCTTGCACCGTCGCCCTGGCCCTGCTAAGGGAGTGATGCAGGAGATGCAGGATTGAAGGAGATGGACACGTGGTAACAGATGAGTAAGTAAAACATAGTATGTCAGATGATGGAAAGTACCGTCGCGAACAGGAAGCCAGGGAAGTGAGGACGGAGGCGAAGGAGCTGGGGCAGGAAGTGGGATTGGACTGCGTTCTTAATTTTTATACAGATATATATATATATATATATAGGAGATTTATATATATATATAGGAGATTTTTGCTGTAGGGTATGTGTGCCCACCAGAGAGACAGAGAGACAGAAAGAGAAATCACACACACACACACACACCGGTGGATGGCCATGCCTTATTCCCTTCTCCATTCTCTCTTGGGATTTTGGGCACACACGCACATACCTGGCATGAGTTTTAAACCGCCGGGTCTGGGACTCGAACCATAGTCAACTAAGTGGGAATCCAGCAATGTAACCAGTATGCCATGTCTGCTGACCTCACTGAATACTTTTAACAGGCACTTGACCTAACTTTTAAAAACTTACTTCATGACTCCTACAAGCATTTATTTTCACACTCGGAGTACATCTGGCCTAGAGCCCATGTGCTGGGGCTTGTGGAAAATCTCCTCTCAGCCTCGGTCACCGGCACCGTCTTCCGAGAGCACCGGGACGAGCTCCCCGTACCTCTCAGTCACAGCCTGCAGTACAGATTCAGCATGCATTTATTCATGTGCTTCCTACTAGGCGAGAAGTTCCCAAAGGGAACAGATTTTACCCCCAGAACTCAGTCCACGTGGGCACTTAACAGACCTGTTTGTTGAGTGACTGAATGAATGAATGAATGAAACATAGTAAGCCCTGTTTTGAAGAAGGTTGTTATTTTACTATTCTGCGGCCACTTGTAAGTTTTCACTTCCCACTTTACAGAACTGCCTAGTAAATGACCTTTTCAAAGCAGACAGGTATCGTCTTCATCCCCGTGGAGTGTGGGAACTGGTCACCCGCTAGTTGAAATCATCCTCTCGCTCTCTCTTTGTTTGCAGAGCCAATGCCAAAGGTGCTCCCCTGAATATAAATAAAGTCTCTAATAGCCTGATTAATTTTGGAAGAAAGCTGATTTCCCCGGCAATGGCTCCAGGCAGCACAGGTGGCTCTGTACCTGGGAGCAGCAGCAGTGGGGGCAGCAGCTCCTCCTCCACCGGGATTCCCGCCAGGACCTCAGCAGAGGCCCCCAGGCATCACCTGCAGCCACAGCAGCGGCTGATGAAGTCGGAGAGCATGCCGGTGCAGCTGGACAAAGGTAGGAAGAGACCAGCAGTAAGTCCCAGGGACACGGTCTCCCGGACTCCCACCTCTGCCTATGGGAGACCGGTGTCCCAGAGAAGACGTCAGAGTAAAACTTGGCCTTTAAAAACCTGTTCCATCTCCTCCTTTCTGTTTGGAATAGGATATGCCGTATTGTTCTTAATTAAGAATGTTTTATGAGATGACTCGGCTAGGTCCTTTGTAACCTTTCTATTCCAGCATGTTTGTGTTTGCAGCCTGTGCGTGCCCACACAGTACGACGGCATGTCACAGGCAGATCGGAGACCCGTGGGCCGTGTCCCCTGCTGACTGTGGAGTGGTGTCTGACGAAGAGCACGTGCCAGGTCCCGGCACCACGGGTCTGGCCTGGTCTAGCGTTAGGGCGATGAGCGCACGGCAGGGCTTTGGAGGGGGCGTGCCACAGGCCTGCCGTCTCACGTCCAGGAGCTTCACTTCTAAGGAGAAGGAGCTCGAGTCTTAAAGAGCAAACACACACGGGAACCAGCAGTTAGCGTAATGGCTATGTCGCTGGACTCCCACGTAGTCGACCGCGGTTCGCGTCCCGGACCCGGTGGCTTGAAACTCACACCGGACGCGTGTGCGTGCGTGCCCAAGATCCCGAGAGGAGAATGGAGGAGAAGGGACTGCGGCGTGACCATCCCCCCTGGGGGGTGATTTCTCGCTTTCTGTCTCTATGTCTCTCTCTGTCTGTCTGGCGAGCGCACGCGCCCTACAGTGAAAATCTCTCAAAAAAAAAAAAAAGAGCAAACACACACAACCTCAGGCAGGCAGAATAAGGCTCAGATTCCACGCACCGGAAGTGAGAGCCGCAGGTGTTAGAGCAGCAGAGGACCCCGCAAACCCTCTGATCCCTGTCTCCGCTGGTGCGGGAAGGAGGTGGCCCTGGCTGCAGAGGCTCTGGGAGGCTTGGTTCTGTCGGGCCCTCCCGGTCGTGACCGCCCAGTGTACTCTACCCAGAGGGCCCTTCAGGCTCTTACTCAGAACTTGTATTTTCCACTCCTTTTCCCAGAAACATAGTGTCTTAGAGCCCCCATTCATAGCCAATTAGAAACACCTGGGCCAACCAGTGGCATGGTGGTGAAGACCACTGGATCCCACATGGCTGGCTGGCTGTTCAAGCCCCAGACCTGGCAGTTTAAAAAATATACTGGGCTTTGTGCCCACGTGTTTGCCCAAAATCCTGAAGGGAGAAATGGAGGAGAAGGGATTACAGCATGCCCATGCCCTATGGGGGATGCTTTCTCTCTCTTTTTCTTTTTCTTTCTCTCCAGAAAGTACACACGTCCCCTGGCAAATTAACAACAACAACAAAATTTTAATAGAAACAACATTTGTTTTTAGTGGTGGGACTCCACTAACTCTACTGATACTTTAGAAGCAAGAAATAGTACATGATGGCCAAAACTCTATGAAAAGCAACCCTAAAACCTGGAAAGTTTGGCAGTGGCAGGCCATTTAGGGTGGGAGCGGACAGCTTGCCCCAGACCTCATTTGTGTCTCAAAGGGGTTCTTGCATTATCTCAGGGTTCAGTAACTAGTAATATTGTCAGGACATTTCATATACTCTGTTTAAGAAGACTACATGCAAAAATATTAAAATTTTACATATTGGCACTTAAATTGGTAAACTTACCATAAATTGACTTTATTCCCCAACGAGGCAAAATGATGGGTGTTTCTCAATAATGGGCGTCCGTGTGCACACATGCCCGCATCCAGAGGCCTTCATCGCTTCATCATGTTTATCTTTTCTCTGTTTCTTTGCCTATATGAACTATTAGACTTTATATAATTAGTATTTTAATTTTTTTAGAATTTTCAATTTGCCTTATATAAGAATATCTCGTCTAAAATTACATTAGTTTCTTTTTTAATGGAGAGCTGTCACACATGATTTAAAGAAAAGGAGACTTCAAATTATTAACATGTTGTAAATGTGTTCTAATGCCAGGAGACATGCCCACTTCCAGAATGGAAATGAATGTTATTTTATATATTTCTTAATTGTACTGTTTTATTGTTCTAAACAAACATGATTTCAATATTGCTTTGATAACAAGCTGTAGTCAGTTGTAATTCTAACTGATGGCAGGCAAATGAGTCAGAGGATCTCTTAATGCTGTCGCTGAAATTTTCTGAGGAACCAAGCCAAATGACTGTAGAGATATAAAGTTGTGTCTCTAAGGAAATGTCAAGTATTAATATCACAGTAAGTGAGAAAGGAAGCGCATGGAGACGGAACAATTGACGAAAACCAAGTCCCCAGTCAGAAGGAGACAACAGAGCACTTAAGCAGAGGATTTGAACACGCGCCACCAGGGCATCTTGTAACTGGTCCCTGCGCTGAGGGACAGTGGCCTTGTTTGGCAACTCTCGTGCGTTTTTCATTCTGGTTTGTTCTTCTCATATCTGTCTACCAAGAAAGCATGTCTATCTTCATGTTAAAGATAAACATGCCTGCTGCTGCCCCTCCACGTGTGAGATTTGGATGAAATAAAGGGCAAAAAGACAGTTCATAGAAGTGGAAAACACAGTGCAGCTTGAAGCGCTTCCCAGGTGACACGCTGAAGCGCTCTGACCCTCTCTCCCCTCTCCCCGATCCCTGGGGCGTCTCTTAGTGCTACAGTTGCTTGGTTCTTTTGGTGAAAGATCTATTTATGACTCCTCGATGAAAATACTTCTCCAATGATAGTGCGCCCCGCCGGCCACCGCGCTGTCACACGGACCGGTCTGCGTGTGTGTCACCTGGCCCCAGAGGTGAGCGAGCAGCGGCCAGCCCGGCAGGAATTCAGTGTTGGGATATGATTTCCATCTATCTCGGAGAGTCACCTACTCGGTGCCCTTGGGGACAGAAAACGTACTGCCAGCTTTAGTGCATTCTGCCAGAGACCTGAGAGTTGTTCTTCAAGATAAATGCTCATGATTCTGTAAGCGGACGCTCCTCCGTTTGTGCCGGTACAGTCGTATCCACGGCCCGGACTCAGGCCTGTGCTGCCTGCAATGCATGCTCGGGCCGGGTAGGTGCCGGGGTGGGCGGCGAGGGGAGGAGGAGGCCGCACAGATGTTCCCCAGAATTCCCTTGCTTATATTTAACATTAAACGAGTTTTCCGTTTCGAAGCAGACTTTAAGAGGTGATCGAGAAGCGGCAGAGTAAAGCGGGTCGCAGGCCTAGAACGGAACGCCTCCTTCAGTTACACGGAAAGCGGGCACACGACTCCCCAGGGAACTGGCGTTCCCTGGGCCCTAACAGCTCAGGGCCTGGCTCTGCTAGAGCGGTGCGTTACTTGTCTGAGCACAGTCCTGTTCATGGGTTCTGCGTGGGAGATAGAACGGCAGCGTGGGCACTGAGGACTGACGGGGATGGTGCAGTTACACCCCGACCACTTTCACATGAGCCGGTCGCGCTATAAATCGTAATTGTAGCCGCGGTCAGGACCCTTGAGGGCATGTTATTTAATTCAAAAATGGGTGTATTTTTCTTTACGACTGTGTATATTATATACAAGCTAGAGGGGAAGAAAGGCTATGAGCCGTAAATTATCCATAGACAATATGGTGCCTTTTTTAAAACGCTTGTTTTCTTAGTTTGTTACACTCAAAATAGCCGAGGCCCTCAGATGGCGATCTGTCCAGAGGGTTCTTCTGTGGACAGTCCCTGTGCTCACTGGTGACCTCTGCCACCCGTGAAGGCGACCAAAGAATCTGAACGTCTTCCTTCCAAATACCTGTGCCCCTCGGGCTCCCCACGGGGTTTCCCGCAGTGCTCCTTTTCCTTTCTTCCCTGATCTTAAAATGCACTCTTCACCAAAAAATAAATAAATAAATAACCTTATTTCATTTGTATTTTAAATTGCTTTTTGAAATAGAACACTTCTTGGGAACCAGCAGTTAGCGTAATGGCTGTGTCGCTGGACTCCCACGTAGTCGACTGCGGTTCGCATCCCGGACCCGGTGGCTTAAAACTCACGCCGGGCGCATGTGCATGCGTGCCCAAGATCCCGAGAGGAGAATGGAGGAGAAGGGATTGCGGCGTGACCATCCCCTCTGGGGGGTGATTTCTCGCTTTCTGTCTCTATGTCTCTGTCTGTCTGGCAAGCACACATGCCCTATAGCGAAAACCTCTCCAAAAAAATAAATAAATAAATGGAACGCTTCTTTATTTTAAGCATTTAATGCAGGTCCAATTTGTGAATGAAATCTTGCCTATAATAAGAATATCAAACGAAGGGTATGCAGTTCACAGATTTATTTTTACATGTTGACATTTATAAGTGCATGTGGTAACTTATGAAATCTTTTTATTACTTAATGTGAAAGTAGAACTTTGTTCTTACCACTGAGCAAGTTGGTTTCAAGTTCAGTTAAAAATAAATTTTGCCTGATATAGGAGAAAATCAATTACAAAAGAATGCCCATTTCTTAATAAATGGCGTCTAACTTATTTGTGGCCAAAAAAAAAAAGAACAATTAAAACAGAAGAAGAAAATATAAAGTCACACTGATACATTTACTGTCTTAAATCCACTCAGCAAAATCTTGTCATCGCTGAAGTTTCCTCCTTGTGTTTTCTGTAAAAAACAAACCCAAAAGCTTCTTAGGAAATACCCTTTTAAACACTCATTTCCAGCTCGGGCGCAGTGACACCCCGGTGCTCGGCAGTGCTGGAATCCACGTGGAAGAGGGGGTTTGGTTCACAGGTCAGTCTCTAATCCTGGGCAGACGGTGCCCCAGTCCTGGCTGGCTGGGGAGAAGGATCCTGGCGTGGGCCCTGTTGAGGGCGTTTGTCTGTCTCTGTCTCTCTCTTTCTCAAGAAATATATTTTAAAAAATACTTTCTTTGAAAATAGTTCGTATTTTCCTAAGCCTGTACTGTGCTTTCTCTTGTGCTGTGTTTTTAGCAGTTTGATAGAAGAACTAGTGTAACGTTGAGTCTGAGAGAAAAGTGGAGCATTTCCTTCTTATGAAATCTAATTATGTTTTCTTATGAAATGCAGGCGATGTAGGTACAGGAAGCCGTGCTCAGGTTTCAGTTCCTGTCCAGACTCTAACTGACCTCCAAGGTACAGTTCCCATAGCAACGCAGCTTTCTCTCTCACCAAGTACTGTCACTGCCTGCTCTCAGACTCCATCCTCCCTTCTGCCCGCCCCATTCATCCTGTCAGTTCACTACCATTGTGGGGCCACTGAGCGGCACTGTTGTTTAGAACAAAAGTCCCCTCTCATGTCATTCATCACCATGGAGACGCCGGATGTGGCTGTGGTGTGGGTTTTTCTGTTAAGTATGTACAAGTCTCTTTCCTTGCAAAATATGATTCACTCTATCTCTTGCGGTTATTTTAACACGGGGCCTTGCGCGGCAGCTCACGCTGAGGTGGTCTTGCACAGGTGCTCTCTGACAGGACTTAACAAAGCCCTTCTGAGATCAGACAGTTTATATGCTATGATTAGTCGAAGGTGCTTACATTTTACCTAAAAGAATGACAACCTGATTTTGAAATGCTTTTAAGTACAGCCTTCATACTGTGAATTAGCACAATTAAGGCGTGATGCAGTAAAGGACAGTGGGTTGAATGAAAAGGGAACATTTCCATAGCATATCCATTTGTTCAAAATAGAGGGAAAAAAATAGCTTGTTTGTGAACTACAAAAAAAAAAAGTTGGCTGGCGTTGTAGCTGAGCAGTGAGGGGATCCGGATCCCACCACTGAGGTTTGAATCCTGTCCTGGAAGCTTTAAAAACATACCTGGCATGTATGCATGCATGCATAAAACCCTGCAGAAATGAAGGAGGAGAGACTGCGGCATGGCCATGCCCCACTGGGGGCACTCCCATTCTCTGGCACACAAACATGCCCTCTGGCAGTAAAAGAAGACAAAAAGGAAATTTGAAAAAGCGGTAATCCATTCAGCACCTCCTGTAAAATTTTAAAACATGGGAAGGAACTTCAAACAGTTGAAAATATGGAATTAAAGTAGGAGTGTATTTGTGTGCATAAACTTAGAAATTCATGCATAGTTTTTTGTTTTGTTTTGACATTTTTGCCATAAGGTGTGTGCAGTTGCCAGAGACGGACAGGGAGAGACAGAGTAAAGGAAAGTGAGAGATCTCCTCCCAGGGGAGATGGCCATGCCACAGTCCCTTCTTCATTCTCCTTGTGGGATTTTGAGCATGCACGCACACAAGCCAGGCAGGATTTTCAAGCTCCCAGGTCCAGGACATGAACTGTGCAGTCAGCCAGGTGGTACTCTGGTGCCTCCACCAACACGACACCTGCTGGCCACATAGTTTTTCGCAGTATACATTTCCATGACCTTTTAAATACCCCGTATAGAAATGTTTAAAGTGGTTGCATTAATCTTTTCTCATGCAATCCTTTAGATAAACTGTGCCATAGAGAGGGTGTGTATGCCAAATGGATTCCTAGACCACCTTTAAGAATCTTCAAAAGGAGACTGAATTGATAGTATGAATTAAAATGCGTATCACGTTTCCCTAATTTAAAATATCCACATCATAATGTCATGATGACAGTGCCCAAATGCCGTTTTAATAGTGATATATCCTCATAATATTCATGCTTTTTAATAAAGTAACAGAAAAAAGTGGAATGTGACTAAGAGGTTGTTGACAGGGCCAGCAGGTGGCATGGAGGTTCAGGAAGCTAGATCCCACTTGGCCGACTGCACAGTTTGAGTCCCAGACCCAGCAGCTTGAAAATCACCCCAGGCGCATGAGCATGTGCTCAGAATCGTAGGAGGAGAACGGAAGAGCAGGGGTTGTGGTGTGGCCATTCTCTCTAGGGGGTCATTTCTCATTTTCCCCTCTTTCTTCTTGTCTCTCTTTGATGAGTGAGCTCACCCTATAACAAAAACTGAAAAAGAAGAAAAAAGAAGAAGAAGAAGAAGAAAGAGAGACCTAGTTGATGCCCTAGCGTAACTTTTTTAGAAACATCATGCTGTGGCAATGGAGTGTGATGACATTCTGTATGGTTTTGTGTCTCCCAGGAAAAATTTCTGGCCTTGTTTTGGTAATTGAACCAGAAGACCTTTAAGGGGATTGCAAGAAGAGTTGTTCTCCTTGTCTGTTATCCGCGTCGTCCAGGGCTATGGTAGCGTGGGCAGCGGAGCAGACAGATCATCTCCACGCGATTCCTCTCGCTTTGTCAGTTACTGTGCTTAAATGAGTATTAATGTGACATGACCGTGTGTCTATCTAGATCACTTGATATTAGACGATTCGGTGACAATTCACAGAATTTAACTTTGGGCTAGTAAAATACTTGTTAAAAAGCCATCTGCCTATCTCAGGATTTAATTCTAAGAAACCATTTTAATTGCCGAAGAGTCTATCGTTGGCTTCTCTGCAGGACACGGGCTGCAGGGCCCCGTTTCTACCTGTGGGAAGAGGAAGCGCAAGGTCGGCCTGTTCTTCCCGACTTCTCTGCTCCCGCTCCTCCGTTTCCTTCTGCAGACGAGAGTCCTGTGAGCAGTGGTCCTTGTTTAATGGGGCTTTGAAGAGGCGGTTGTGTCACTTCGCTCAGATGACTCGCATTTCTAAACAGAACCATCCCATTCGCGTATGCAGCAAGTATTCCTCAGTGCCCATGTTCCGAGCTCTGTTTTCATCTGCCCCTTGGTTTTCTCTACCACTTGGCCAGATTGCCTGGGCGTTCCCTTGGCTGGAGAGGACCCAGTCCCGCCCACACAGTCAGCAAGCAGCTTTTCCTGAACCCCTGGTTTGGAATCCCCTCTGCTTCCATGCTGTGTAAGAGGTTGTATCAGCATAACAGGGAGGTTCCAGCTAGTAAGGAGACGTGGGTCCCAGGTAAACAGCTCTCAATCCGGTGTGGCAGCTCCAGCGACGACACCGTGAGATGACAGCAGCCCTGACTGGGAGAAATGACGTTGGGTGTTCCTCTGTGTACTTCCTGGAGGGCCAAGGGGCAGGAGGGAGGAAGTGGACAGGACCCAGACTAGTGGACAACTGAAGAGCTCCTGTCTGTGCTTAACAGGACCAGTAAGAGCAGAAGGGGGGTCCGTCAGAGGCGCCACACTGAGTGTCATCCCCCGGGTATTTCAAGAGCAGATGTGGTATTTAATTTCAGGGAAATTATTACTTAGACTCTCACAAGTCTTTTGCTTTCGCTTTCTCTCAAAGTAATGAAGTAAATTTCAAGAAATAAATTATACTCTCAGTGATTCTAATATCATGTAGTCTTTTTTCATGAGATTTCACATCTGTAGTTTGACTTTTAACTCACATAGATATATAATTTTTAAGATTTTTAATAAAAAAATGAATATAAAAGAGAGATTCCACAATTTGGGTCAATAAGTCATTTTCAAGAAATTACTGGAAAATTTTACTTTATATCTTGTAATATGGGTTGCAATCACACACACACAAAAAAACGTGCCTCAGCAGAATTTGTTTTTCCAAGACTTCATTCAATGGGCTTCTTCAAAATTAGTTTTGGATATTGCATCCATACTCCCTGGAAACCTTTTTCAAGAGCTATTTAGAAATTTACTGTCAAATCAAAAAGCTTTGAAATGTATACACACACAAGACATACACATATTATTTCCAAAAGCAATTGACAACGTATAACAATAGAAATATTTTAGTGTCATACAAAGGGCCAGTAGGAAGGAAATTCAGAGTTCTTGAGTAATTACGATAGGCATCTTTAGAATTTATATTTGCGCGTGTGTTTATGTGATAGATACAAATCCAAGCACATCCTCATTCTCACACACAGATGTCGTTATAAAATAGATCAGGCTGTTTTTAAGTATAAAAAGAGGAGAAAAGTGGAAAAATCTCTCTACTCAGGTAATACTGTTGCTACGCTTAGGGGTAACACATGTAATGTTAGACACCCAGTCGATTAGTTGCATTGAATAAAAACCCTCCATTTCCTCTTCTACCTCTTTTTTACCAGTCCACTTCCCAAACTTCCATACATTCGATCACATTATTATCTGTCTTACAAAATGGATATTTGGACAGGTGGACATTTCTCCCTAGTACTGTTGATAAAACTACGAAATATCTTCAACCGATAATACCACACCTCTTTGTGCCATTAATGCTTTGCCTCCCTGTCCCTCCCCCAAATGTCCTTCCTCAAACCCTCCTCTTTCACACACACTATATCTGGTATTTATATCTATTTACTGCCTTTCTATAGCCTTTAGTCAATTAGTTTCAGTCACAGAGTGCAGACACTCAGTATATATTAAGTGGGGACATACAGTGCCTCTCCTTCATAGCATGGCTTGCTTCACTCAGCAGTAAATCTTCCATATTCATCCACTTCCTGTCAAAAGCCAGGGTTTTGTTGTTTTTTATGGATGAATAGTATTCCATTGAGTATATGTGCCACAGTTTTTCTAACCATTCATCAGTTTGTGGGCATTTGAGTTGTTTCCATGACTTAGCAATTGTGAATAGTGCCACAATGAACATCGATGTGCAAACACTTTTCCTATTAAGTATTCTGTCCTTTGGGTAGATACCAAGGAGTGGGATTGCTGGACCATATGGTAGTTCTATTTTTGCGGAATCTCCAAATTGTTCTCCACAGTGGCTGGACCAATTTACATTCCCACCAGCAGTGTCAGAGAGTTAGTTCCCTTTTCACCACACCCCCACCAGCACTTATCATTTTTTGTTTTTTCAATCTTAGACATTCTGACTGGGGTTAGGTGATATCTCATTGTTGTTTTGATCTTTGTTTCTCTTACAATGAGGGATGGCGAGCATTTTTTCATATGCCTTTTAGCTATTCGTATGTCATCTTTAGAGAGTGGTTTTTTCAACTCTTTCTCCCATCTTTTAATAGGATTGTCTTTTTCCAGAACAGCTGCTTGAGTTCCTTGTGAATTCCAGTTACCAGTCCCTTACCCAACACATAGTTTACAAAAACTGATAATGAAATCATAAGCCAAAATTACGAATGTTTTTTAAGTCATTGATAATGAAAAGACTAAATGCCCAAACCCTGAGAGAGAGATAAAATGATATACTGAAGAAATGCAGTTCTTAGAAAATAAGAACGATTGTATGATGAGTTCTCTAAACATGTCATTCAAGAAGGAATATGCCTAAAGAAAGCAAAGGCGTCAGGATAAGAGATTAACGAAATAGATCAGTGAACCAAACAAAGTTGGTTCTTAACACAGTGAAGTAACCAGACCTTTAGTACTAACCAGCAATAAATAAGAGGAAACCACTCACACATTCAAACTTAAAATAGTGACATAGCTCAATATGCAGAAGTGTGAGTTGTTTTTTGATTTGGGGGCTTTTTTTTTTTTTTTAAGACAACTATATTCAATTTTAAAAATTGAAAGTCCGGCCAGCCCTGTCAACTTGTGGTTAAGGGAACTGGATCCCACATTGCTGATCAGAGTTCAGAGCCTGGATCTGGCAGTTTAAAAAACACTCCAGATTGGGGCTGGCATGTGGCATGGTGGTTAAGGGTGCTGGACTCCCACATGGCTGACTGCGGTTTGAGTCCCGGACCTGGCGGCTTGCTTTCTTACTTTCATTTTCTCTCTGTGTCCTTCTCTGGTCAAATTAAAATAAATGAATAGATAAAGTTAAATAAAATAATTCTTTAAAAAAAAACACTTCAGGCACATGTGCATTTGTGCCCCAAATTCCAACAAAACGGAGAAATGGAGAAGGGATTGTGGCATGGCCAGTCCACTCTCGGGCACAACAAGTGTGCATTCACCTTCTCTTTCTTGCTCTTTCACACAGGCCTGCTGGCAATGAAAAAAACAGGGGCGTGAAATCTGGACCGGCTAAAACCAAGCCATCAGGGCCTGGGGAGAATGAGCTCCGTTGCTCCTGTGCAGCAGTGACAGAGTTCAGTTTCTTGTGACTGTAGGACCAAGCTCCCCACTTCCTTGCTGGGACTTTCTCCAGCTTCTAGAGAATGCTGTATTCCTTGGCTCATGGCCGCGTGCTCCACCTTCATGGCCAGCATCGCTGGGTTGTGGCTTACACACTCTAACTCTGTGCTTTTCCTTTTCAGTCCGTCCCTTTGACTCGTTCTCCTGCCTTCTCCTCCCATCGTAAAGAATGACATGTTCCGATTCTAAGCCCAGCACAAGAACGCAGGAAATGACGTGACATTAAGTAACCTGGAGAGCATTTGAAGTACACAGTAGGATAGGCGTAGGTTATAGGCAGGCATTGCAGTGTTTTATAGGAGAGACTTGGGCATCCCCGGATGTGGATATCTGCCATGGCCCTAGAACCAATCCCCTGTGGGTACTAAGTGATGATTTATGTGTAGCTTTTTTAAAAAAAGACCTATTTCTTTCATTTTATTCATTCATTTTAGTTTGACCAGAGAGACACAGAAACAGAGAGCGGGAGAGCGAGGAAGCAAGCCGCCAGGGCCAGGACGCAACCCTGGTTGGCCATGTGGGAATGTCCAGTGCCTTACCCACCGCGCCACCTGCTGGTCCCCTGTGCATGGCTTTTTAAAGAAAGAAGGGAACTATCGAAAGTCACCCGAGCCAGACTGTAATAGGTGGATAGACTCTCATATAGAATGTCATTTCATTTTGGGGAAAAAACACGTTCTCGTGAATCAAAATGCTTTGGTTTCTTAGACCCACCTTTTTGTTTTGTGTGTGTGTGTTGTAATAACATTGAGATCAACAACACAGTGGTCCCCTGAGATTTAATGGAGCTGAAAAATTCCTGTCATCTGGTGTCACTGTGGCCTTTCTGGTGTCATAGCATGACAGACTGCCCATATGTGTGTGGTGGTGCCAGTGTAAACGAACCCTACTGCCAGCCATGTAAAATGCAGCAGGTGCCACTATGCACAGTGCATGATACTCCAGGATAAAAATAAACCACTATCTACTGGTTCGTGTATTTACCATAGTATGCTTTTATCATTATTTTAGAGTGTAATCCTTTTCTTTAAAAAAAAATTTTTTAGAGGTTTTTGCCTAAGGACGCGTGCACTCGTGGGGAGAGAGAGGCAGTGACAGTAAAAAGGAAAGTGAGGAATCACTCCCCAGGCGGGATGGCCACGCTGCAATCCCTTCTCCTCCATTCTCCTCCCGAAATCTTGGGCATGCACACACATGCACTCTCATGTGCCCGACGCGAGTTTGAAGCCACCAGGTCCAAGACTCGAACCACAGTCAGCCACATGGGAGTCCGTCAACGTAACCGCTACGCCACCTGCTGGCCCAGCACGTTCCTTCCCTTGTGAGGAAGAAGGTTACTGAAAAACAGTGCACTGTGTCCCCTCGATAGCAATCTCACACACCTGTGTTCACCAGCTCTCTTGACTGTATCGTTTTCTCTTCCGCTCAGTCTAATCTCAGGGGGTTTTTTGTTCCTCATGGCCTTTCATAAGTTTGTGAATGTCACTGCTAACATGAGCAGTAAGAGGCCACATAGAGAACCAGCAGTTAGCGTAATGGCTATGTCTCTGGACTCCCATGTAAGTCAACCACGGTTAGAGTCCTGGACCCGGTGGCTTAAACTCACACTGGGCACATGTGCGTGCCTGCCCAAGATCCTGAGAGGAGAAGGGATTGCGGCCTGGCCATCCCTCCTGGGGGGAGATTTCTCACTTTCAGCCTCTCTTTCTGGCCAGTGCACATGCCCTATAGCAAAAAAAAAAAAAAAAAAAAACCCACAACTCTCAAAAAAATAAAAAAATAAAATAAAGCAATGCACCTCGATTGTCAATGACACCCTCCAAGACCATCTTATTCAAAACTGCAACACCTTCTTCGCTTTACGAGCAGGCTTTTCCACTCACGCATCCTGCCATCTGAGGTCATGCCTGTTTTCTCACCATACTTGTCCACCTGCCCTCTATAAAGCCAGTTCCCTGAGGGATGGGAGTTCTGATGCGTTTAGTCCCACTGTCTCCGGGCCCTTGTCTCCAGGCCCTCGTATCTGGCACTTCCTAGGCGCTCGGTCACAATGGCTGAATCATGCCAGGTACTCTACTGAGTCGCTGAGTCCCCTGACAGCCCCGTGGGCGGGTGAGGCCTGTGTGGCACTGGCTTCAGGTGGTTCTGTGGGCTGGCCTTGTAGCCAGAGCGACTCTCCCAGCAGGATGTGCAGAGACCTTGCTCCTGGCCAGGGAGCTTCGTGGCTCAGACCTCTTAGTGGAAAAGTCACTTCGGGGGACCACAGACGGACCCATCCAATGAGGGGACAGGTCTGAAAAGTGGCCCTCGAGCCAGGACCATGTGCAGATTCTGCCGTGGGCTGGGGGTGAGGGGTAGCCGTGTATTTGTTTTGCAATTAAAGAAATGGAAAGATACTCTTCTGAAAAACTTTGGCACAGGATTTAGATGTTCTCATTTTAATAATATAATGGGAAGTGGAATAGATTCTGATTTCTCTAATTAAGGAATGACTTTGTTAGTGAGAGAAAAACCAGTCACTTAACTGCGATTTCTGAAAATGGAATCGTTTCGGGTTTGTTTGTTTGTGTGCAACGCTTGGGTTATTGTCATATAAAATACATACAGAAAACGACATTGGTACTTAGTCGTTTTTAAAGATTTGCAGATCTTCTGATATGTAAAAATGCATGCATTTTAATACTCCAGAGTCATTCTGTTGACATTGCAAGCATCATAATGTCATACTCGATCATCATCTACTAAAAGCAGAAGGTTCTGGAACTCACTGAAGGAGTCTGCTGTTTCAGGATTGCTTCTTCCTTCTCTCCTACAGGGCAAAGTTCTAAAAACATCAGTTCATCGCCAAGCATTGAGAGTCTGCCTGGGGGAAGAGAATTCACCGGCTCCCCACCTTCTTCTGCAACTAAAAAAGATTCCTTTTTCAGCAACATCTCCCGTTCACGCTCGCACAGCAAAACGATGGGCAGGAAAGAGTCCGTAAGTAGCTCGGGAGAGTTTTCTTTCTATCTGTTCTTTTCCCCTAGGGTATTGTATTTACGAAAACCTCTTTACTGCCCGGTGTTATAAAGTTCTTAAAAGTTCTATGGATTAAAATGAATTATTTCATCAGAAGTATCTTATTTTTATCATCATTCAGTAATATTTTAAGAACGTGTTCAACATTACACTCTGGGTAGGTAGCAACTGAGATACCTTAGCCCAGATCTTTCCCGAATGCCAGTCCTTCTTTTCTACTACAAATGCCTTTCTATCAAAGCCTGTGTTTTTTTCTTTTTTTCTAATATCTAACCTATAATTTTGGATAAAATAAGAGATTATAGCACTCGAAACAAAATTTGTTTTTTTAGTTTTAAGTATTCCTTTAAGATTAAAAATAATTATTTTGCCATTTCTTTAAAAAAGAAAAAACTATGCATATATATGTGTATATATATATATATGTGTGTGTGTATATATACACATACATACATACATACATACATACAGAGTACATTTAAATTGTGGATTATGGTGCTTTGGTAGTTGCTCTGTGAGATCCTTTGAATACATTTCCAAAAGGACGTATCTAAAGCATATCGATTGCTTTTAAAATATGAACGTACCTGAAATTTTGATAAGCCAACATCATAAGAAATTCACATTTAACCACATTTTAAAGCTAGTTCAACCTCTAACATTCTAATATGAAGGATATAAGGTTAATACAGAAAAGGAGCTAGCTGCAGCTGAAATGGTCTTAAATTAGAAAAAAAAAAGCGCAAATAAACCTTTGATGTATAATTATTCAAGGCTTGCCAAAAATAGATCAGGTCAGGAGCTCTATGTATATGACCTTTTGTCCTTGGGCAAGAGACTCAGCCTCTGCATGTCTCAAACACCTCCTTGGCAAATTACGGAATATATTTTGTTCTCTTAGGGGCTCTTTTAATTTGTAGGAATTGTGATTCTGTAGATTATAGAAGAGCAGAATGGGGGGCCAGCAGATGTCTTAATGATTGCATGTCTGGACTCCCACATAGTCAACCACAGTTCGAGTCCTGAACCCGGCAGCTTAAATCTCACACCAGGAGCATGTGCAGGCATGCCCAAAATCCTGAGAGGAGAATGATGGAGAAGGGATTGCAGCATGGCCATCCCCTCTAGGGGTTGATTTCTCACTTTCTATCTCTCGTTCTCTCTGGCAAGTGCATGTGCCCTATCGCAAAAGTCTCTCAAAAAAAAAAAAAAGAAAGAAAAGAAAAGAAGAGGAGCTAAATGGAACTTTTGTGTAAATATAACACTTTTTTTGTAAGGATTTCACTCTGCCTCCTCCTAAAACTCTACTGTAAGAACAAAAAGAGTAGTTACATAATCCCTCAAAGAATAAGAAAACAGAGAAGGCAAAAGCAACCAAATACTGTTTTTGCAAAGCAGGTGGCATATAGTAACCAAGAAGCCTGCGAAGGCTGAACCCCAAGTCAGCAGTAGGTTCAAACCCAGGGGCCACTTTATTTACCTCGTAAAGCCCTCCAGAATCTCTGGAACAGTAAATGAGAACAAAGGTAGCACAAGAGATGCGAGAACCTGCCAGACGTTTCTCCATGAATTAGTCTTCTCCCCTCACTCTAGCGGAAGTCTAGAAGTTGAATTCTCCGACAATGTGAAATGAAATGTCTCGAGACTGAGAGATCAGACACATTCTACTCTGAGACTGCTCTGCTGGGAAGGGATGGGGAGTACACTTACCTGCTAAAGGTGACACTCCTGGGCCTCCCCACTTTCTTCCTGGAATACCAGTCTAACCTCCCAGGTAGGTGGATGGACGAATTATCACTAGGCAAAAAATGCATGCGTACGCACACACACGCACACACACACACACACACACACACACACACACACCACAAACATACGGACCTTTACTTTGGGTTCTTCAAGGAAACAGGTGGTTCGTCTTATGGCAGAACCTACCATTATTTCTTTTAACTTTTTAGTTGACACTGTTTTGTCCGATCAGGGCAGCCGAGGACCACCAGGCTTTGAAGAGACTATCTGATAGTGAAAGACAAATTCAAACGGAAGAACTCAGGTGGGAGGAAGCCATGCTATGAAGTACAGGCAACATCAGAAAAACGATAGAATTCATGCAGGCGAAAACAAAGAGCTCTTAGAGATTAAAATATGATATCTTAATTATAAAATGCAGTAGAATAGTTGGAAGATGAAGTTGAAGAACTATCTCCAGAAAATATAAGAGAGAAATTAAAGAGAGAAAAATATAAGAAAATTAGAGACCTGATCCAGGAGTTTCGAAATCTAAACAACAGAAGTTCCAGAAAGAACAGAGAAAATAAAGGAAGTAATCAAAAATGCAGTTCATGGGAACCAGCAGTTAGCGTAATGGCTATGTCGCTGGACTCCCACGTAGTCGACCGCGGTTCGCATCCTGGACCCGGTGACTTAAAACTCACGCCGGGCGCGTGTGCGTGTGTGCCCAGGATCCCGAGAGGAGAATGGAGGAGAAGGGATTGCGGCGTGACCATCCCCCCTGGGGGGTGATTTCTCGCTTTCTGTCTCTATGTCTCTCTCTGTCTGTCTGGCGAGCGCACGTGCCCTATAGCGAAAACCTCTCCAAAAAAAAAAAAATGCAATTCAAGAAATTTTTCCACTGATAAAAGATCTGACTCTTGATTGAAAGTCTGCAGAATGTCTCACACAAGTAAAATCAAACCTGTACTTAAATGCATCAGTGACACAATTCATGGGTGTAGTAACAAAATATTTTGTGAACTTACAGAGTTGGTAGAAAAGAAAAATTGCCAACAAAGGATCCGGAATCATAATAGCTACAGACTTTTCAGTATCAACACCAAAAGCAAGAAAATGGAGTAATACCTTCAGCTATGGGAAATAAAGTTACTTCCAACCTGAATGCAGCCCTCAGCTAAATTACTAATTAAGTATGAGGGTTGAATAAAGCGGCTTTCAGACATCAACAATTCAGAAAGTTTATTCCTAGGCACTTATTTTCAGAACCCACTGGAGAATGTGCCCCACCAAAAAATGAGGCGTAAACCAGGGAAAACAAATACATGAAAACAAGGAAATAAAGGCTACAAACCAAGAGAAAAAAGATTCCCCAGAACGATAATATGGGAGTCTAAAAATATAGCACAGCTATTTTGCAAACCCAGAGAATAGCAACCAGCCTAGATTGGAGCAGGTTAGAAGATTCCAGAAAGATGTCTTCAGAAAGATGAAATTGGAAAAATGTATATTTTAATGAACTGGGAGACTTACACAATAGTGGATCCGAATTAGTGCTAACTCTATAGCTAAACCAGTAATAATTAAAAGGACAATTGGTAACCCCAAAGAAAAACAAAGTGTATGTAGGAAAATAAAGTTATGATAAAATTAAAACTGAACTGTGACTAGAATTTAAAAAGACATTACAGTAGAAGCCTATTGACTGTTAATCAAATCAACATCATTCCCCACCCTTGGAGCGATTTGGGAATGACACACTTGCCTGGGGACGGGAGGTAGTAGGGAGTACTGTCATAGCTTATGCGTGCTTTAGAAAGAGGGAGGAAAGGGAGGAGGAAAGGGGGAGGCCACAAGAAAGCTCCCCACACCCCAGCAGGGCCTGACCACACCACCTCCTTTTCCCTTCATTCCTCCATCCCATTAGGATATTGGGCACATGTGAGCACATTCCCAGTGTTAAGCCACCGGCTTCAGGATTCGAACCCCAATCAGCTTTTGCTGTGCAGCACCTAACCAGTGTGCCGCAGGGCTGGCTGAATTCTACATTGTTCATAGTGAAAAATCACTGAATAATGCCCTCTAGAAAAATTAAGAGGTGGCATGGTGGTTAAGGGGACTGGACTCCCACATGACCAACGGCAGTTCGAGTCCTGGACCTAGCAGCTTACTTTCTCATTGCCCCCCACCCTCAGTCTGTCCCTCTCTTGTCAAATTAAGATAAAAAAAAAATAAAGTTAAATGAAATAATTCTTTTTAAAAATTAAGAGGTAGCAAATAAGTTAGATACGAACGTAGAAAACAAAACAAAACAAAATAGGTGAAAGAATTGAAAATGGCTGCTTCTGGGGAACGTGAAGTCGAGGATGGGCTTGTGGACACTGGTTTTCGTAACAAGTCTCGTAGAACACTTTCCAAGTGTTAGTTTTATTACTTCAACTAAAAACAGTAACTTGAGGGACCAGCAAATGACATAGAGATTACATTGCTGCATTCCCAGTGGCCAGCCATGGTTCAAGTCCCAGACCTGGTGGCTTGAAACTCAGACCGGGGGCTTGCTTCCTCCATTCTCTCTGGAGGAGAATGGAGGAGAAGGGAATTGTGGTGTGCCATCCCCCCTCGGTGTTGTAGGGGGTGATTTTTCACTTTCCCTCTCACCGTGTCTGTGTCTCTCTCTCCAGCGAGTGTATGCACCCTAAGGCAGAAACCTCTAAACAGTAATAATGATAACTAGAAGTTCAAGCACAGTGGGATGTACTGGCATGGAGAGAGGCCTGCCCGCCCGAATGCAGGACTGGAGAAGGGCAGTGAGGGGACAAGGAACGAGAAGGCACGTGGGACATTTCCACTTGCATTCCGTCGTATTTTGGTGGCACATGGGTTAGTCCACAGCACCAGTCGGCTACTTCCCTCGTGAGACGGTGATGGTGCTAATACTCGAGCCCGAGGAGCTGAAGGAAATGGAAGCAGAGTCCGTCCAACTCCCTACGGAGCCTGGTGTCCACCCAGAGGCAGACGCGAGCCGTCGTCCAAAGTTGAATGGTGTTCTAACTTGCGAGAAGGAAGCAGGCAGTCATTTTAAAGAGAAGGCTCACAGTTTTCCAAGTAACAGTAGCATTTTATTCGTTTTATGAAATAGTGGGTTGTCAGCAATACACCGTCAGTCCTCTCCATTCTGGGAGTTCAAGAGGACAGAACCTCCTTGTCCCCCAGGATCTGTCAGCCACTTC